CAGAACAAATTGCCCTCAAGGAGGACATTAAAACAAAGATAATTTCGGTCTTTGCTGAAAGCGAAATGTCATTTTAGGATTTATGAAACTATGCTGTAATAACTACCTTACTAAAGATTAAACAGCAAATTAGGGGTTTATTAAGGCAAAAGTTGTAGTTAATAGTAAGTTAATTGTAAGAATTGGTCCTCAAACTAAAGTGTGACCTAAAATTGTATATAACTTTCTACAAAAAATGTTAGTAAGCAATTTTTTCACATTCAAATCGTGTTAATGTGCACATTGTTTATGTCTTGTGGCTATACTATTGAAACATTAAAGTATTTGAATGTAGACAAATTGATTATCATTTCCATTGTAAATTTTGGTTTAAAAAAGGAGGGAAAAAGTGGAAATACATTTTTGTGGTAATCAACATTATGCCACAAATGCTGTCAAATTTGAAAAAACAAATGCACAAACTCCTTTAAATATGAACATGTAAAAAGTCAGTTATATTATTTAACAAAATGCTGATTTTTACTGTAAACAAAAGCATTTTCTATTAGCATTGCCTTATTTGTCACCATACAGTTACAACCTTCACAAGCAGTGACTCTTTTAACATTTTGCATGGTTTTAGTCATGAAGCTTCTTTGTTCTTCACCATGGGATCAGCAAAAAAAACACAAAAAAAACCAAACACTGACCAGTCCAAGCTGGAAGCCACTGTGCAAAGCTCTTGAAACTGAACTCTAGGAGGCCGTTGGAACCGGCCGACGATCGGAGACTCGTCATCTGTATTTAACAGAGAGCTGCCACTGCTCATACTGCTGGAGTTCGCAACGTTCTTACCAGCTACACAGTGTGTACAAGACAGATGATTAATAGACGAGCATAGATTTAACTTAACATTATCCAATTCGCTCTCTCGAAACACTGATGCACAGTAACGTTGAATAAAGAAAATATGATAATACTCAGTAACGTGGCTACTTACAGTTTTGGTCTAGAAACTGATCTAGGCCTTCGTCTAAAGACAGACCATCAGCATCATCTTTTACAAAACGAAACATGGATGTAATTTCCGACTGACACAGACAGAGAAAGAGAGACACATAAGAACATACATTTCAAAATTCAATATTTGTTGTAGCAGCAATATATACGGAGCTAAGAAAAGCAAAGCATTTAATAAGTGACAGACTGGTCATTAGTAAACACTCACCTCTATATTCGAATCCATGGGGAGCAGGATGCCCTTTTTAAAAGTGCAGTAACAAAGCAGAAGCGCCACCTGTGCACATACATTAACACAAATAAATGCACAACATCTCCTGCATAGCATTAAAGGAACAATTCATCCAAAAATTAAGCTTAGTGTAAGTGACCACAGTCACAAAAATGTAGTGAACTCAGCAAAGTTAATGTCTTTCATTTTGGTCTGTTCCTCATACAAAGCTTCAGAAAACTTAGAATCTAGGAGAATAAGTCAGTCATATGAACCACTTTAATATTGGTTTGTTATTAAATGTAAATGAGAACGTAATGACATGATTTAGTTTTTGTTATGCAAAAAAATTTCCACACATGCAGCATAAATACAAAGCCATTAGCAGCATGTCATATTCAATGGATTTCCAATCTTTTAGATGCCACAGACCCCAAATATGATCATTCTCATGCAATCAGACCCCCATCCTAATTATTATTTAGGAGTATTAATTATTTACTATAATCATTTTTTTTATTAACACTTAATTTAATTATGAGTAATATTTTTAATCTATTTTAATGTATTTATTTTAATTTCATTTTATTGCAATTTTTAGTTATTTATTTTAATATTTTTTATTATGTATTTATTGAGTTTGAAAACCCCTGATTTAGAGCACAAATTAACAAATACACACCTTGGCCAGCTGAAGCTCCAGGTCAGTCCCTCCACTGATCTTCTGTAAGATGAGGGAACTTTGGCTTTTGGTGAGGTGACAGTCATCTGCACATGGAGGAGAGAAGTTTATTTATGTTTTAACGCCATATCAGCAACAATGGCTATTTTCATTATACAAAAACATACAAGAAACAACAATAGTACTCATACAATCTTTCAGTTAAATCAGTGATAAAAATTCTAAAATTCTTCCAGGAGAGACTTTTTAAAAAATGTCTTTTAGTACATTTTCTGAATAACATCGTTGTCTAATATCGTTTAAAATTGGACATGCTATTAAAATATGTTTTTAAAAATTCTTACGCAAGTCACAGACTGGTTTCTCTTCTGCTTTCAATAAATATGAATGAATGAGTCTTGAATGTCCAAATCGACGGAGGAGAGAAGTTGCAATACAGGAACCTTACCTTATTTTAAGTATATAAAATTACAAGTATAGGCTAGATTTCTAAACGTGAACTATTCTTATATGTTTCATATCATGCAAACATTACAGGTTGTACATGGTCATGAAAGGTGGGGAGATTAATAAATAGCTCAAGTCACTTTCAAGTGCCTTTCCGTATCCACGCTTTTCAAAAACAATGAGACATATGCAGTATGTTCTGTGTTAATCAACATTATACCACAAATATTGCCAATAAAGCAGAATTTGTCACTACTACAACATTTCACATTCACTGCCCAGTCCAGCATTAGTCTAAAAATAAAGCACAAAAGCATGAAATTCCAAAAAAGACAAGCATTTGTAACTCACCCTGCAAAACATTGAAGATGACTTCCACTTTCTTATAGAGGGACAACGTCTTAAAATCCTCGGTGTTCTCCATCCCCCTTCTAAAGTAACAGATAACGCATTTGTCAGAAGTAAACAAAGTTAGTGCTAGTTATCAAGGTATTTCCATATTTACCACCCAAGAGTCTCAAAGTGACAACTCACAGTTTGAAGCATATCTTCAAGAGTCGAAGCCCATCTCTCATCGGAATGAACTCCCAGAGGTGCTTCTCTGGAAACATGGTGTTTATCTGTCAAAAGGACAACAGTCACCATATAAAACATCATAGAAGAACATTAAGTGTTTTAAACTATAAAACTGATGTTACAACCAGTGTTGGGGGTTACGTAATCAGATTACTTTTTTCAAGTAACTAGTAAAGTAACGCATTACTTTTTAATTTACAATAAAATATCTGAGTTACTTTTTCAAATAAGTAACTCCAGTTACTTTGTTTTCCCATTTATTGACTGACCGCTCTCCTGTCCCCATATTGAGAGAAATCGGGAGTAAGTGCAGAGGCGCTGTGTGAACAAAATGTTACTGTAGTTCTAGACTAAATGTCAATGTGCATTTACTTATCTCACTTGCACAAAAACAGATTCAGTATTCCTCAAAATGAATGAAAACAGTGCAATGCAAACCTGCAATAATTAAATGTATTAAATAACACAAATATCTTTTATGCATTTAATCCCATTTTATTAATCAATATCTTTGCTGCCGACTTTCGATGATCCAATTCAGCCATATTAATAAGCAAAAATGACATATGTTTTTCTTTCTTTTTGTTTCATTGCTGAAGAGTGTTGAACTTTCTTCTCCTGCACTCTATGCTTCATGCAATCCAGAATGGCTGAGACATATTCGTTTCACTTTTGGTGTGAAAGGGCCTTTACATTTGCCAAAAATAGAAATTTTTACATTAAAAACAAATTAGCAAGCCTAGCTCAAATGAGAAAAAGTAACGCAAAAGTAACGTAACGCATTACTTTCCATAAAAAGTAACTAAGTAATGCAATTAGTTACTTTTTTTAGGGAGTAACGCAATATTGTAATGCATTACTTTTAAAAGTAACTTTCCCCAACACTGGTTACAACACTTAAACATGTCAACAGACTAGAATAACTGAGACTAATAATCTAATATATTAGTCAGTTTTTTTAATAAACAGCAAAATTGGATGACACTCTTACCCATGCCAAAAGCGGTCTCGCCTTGTTCATATTAAACTTCATGGCGGACTCTATTAAAAACATATTTTAAAATGTTACTACAGCACATAAGCTGGAAGAAGAAACAAACCAAGGCTTAATATTTAATGACAAAGTCCTGTTGTAATTAAACTAGGAAAATAACACACCCTAAGAAGCTTGCTTAATGATTACACCTAGTTTTAGACTTCAGAATAAAAGATGCTACAACAGGCCAAAGTGAACAATTCTAAGGATACAAGACAACATTTGTGTATTTTGATGATAATTAACAAAATCCACACCTAACGTTATGCATTAAATAAAATCACAAACACATATCTTTTTTTTAAATATAGTGCACATCTTAATATAAACATGCCAAAGTGTTATGCAGGGCAGATAAACGCAATATAATCATAAGTTACTTGCAGTATAGTTATATTCAACAAGGAAGCAAGTTTGTTTACTCTGCAACGTTTAGCCCGCTAACTTTTTTATAAAGTTTAAACTTCAAAAACAATACCCTCATAAAACGCCATATGAAGCTGAATATAATTTTTATATATTAATGAATTAAATGTTTTTTTTACCTTGATTTTAGGGCGAGATGAAGCAAGGATACACATCAAATCACTCGCTGAAACGTTTTTAAATTCAAACTCAAAGCGTTTACTGTATTTGAACAGCGATTGGTCGTCATGCTTCGTTCTCATTGGCTGTCTCAAATCAAAGTATCCAATGGAAACGCTGCTTCTTAAGCAACGCCCCTGTAGTCTTTCAAATCTCTCCACTTTTTTTTTTGGAAACACCAAATGTCACGTATATTCCACTTTTAGTTTTAGAGAATTGAGAAAATATACAGTTCATAACCATATTTAATGATGAAACGGACAAATAAAGCGAACTACGAAAAAAGTAATCGCGCCAGAAACGAACGAACTACATTTCCCAGAATGCTATACTATGACGATGGTTTCCATGGTAACTTTGTTGCTGGCACACTTAAAATTCACGACAATGGTGATGAGAAGTTGATAAAATTACTGATTTATTTTGGGTTTACATCTTAAATTCCACTGTATGTAAATCCGTACTTTTTTGCTTTAAGGCCTTAAACTTCGTTTTAAGATTAATCACATTTTCTTATTGCAATTTGTAGTTTTTAATCTTGTTTTCTGCAGTCGGAACATGTTTGGATCTCCAGTGGACTTTTCATTTAGGGAGCTCAACACAGTTTCAGGTGTGTTTATACTTTTAAAATATCGGTTTAAGTAGTATATTAAACGCCTTAATATTTTCGTCAGAATTAATTTTCTGCTTTTCAACAGTAATGACAATCGAAATGCATTTATTGCCTAAATGAGGCACGTTTTCCACTGAAACATAATAGAATTGTCAGACGCGCAAACGAGTCGTTCCTCTGAGTCGGATCTTTCCAATTAATCGATTCAGTTTACAGAATCGAGCGGTTTTGAATGCCGGTATGAAAACTTCTATTAATAGCTGATAAATGTTACAAACAAAAATAAAAACTGTAATTAATATTGTTATACAATTAATTGATTGTATAACAGTTTCATCAACACGCATAGTAATAAATATAATTTAGTATATTTATTTATATATAATTTATTTACATTTTTTATAATTAAAAAGAAAACTTTTTTTCAGACAAGACATGCCTTACATAACATCTGCTGACATAAATATAATTTGTCCCTGTCCAAGATTTTCAGGTTTTATTAGAAGTGAAATGCACAAGTGGAATTATTTCACTAAGTTAGGAGTGAGATGCATAAGTCTACATAAGTCTTAAAAATTTACATTTTATTAATAAATCTGATGCTTACCAAATCCCACATTCACCGATCCAAATATTCAAATTCTAGACGTCTCTTTTTATGTTTTTATGAAAGAAATAGTCAATTAAATTGTCTAAGAACAAAAAAAGTTTTGCGATTCTTTAGTAAAATGCAATTACCAAAACTTGTCACCATTTGCTTTTAATCCCCGTTTTATTTTGTTTCTCATTGTAACTTGTTGCTGTCTATATATTGTATTCTGTATATTGTTCTGAGCATTATCTGAAAAAAAAACATTTTTATTAGAGGTAACTAATTTATCATATACACTCTAAAAAATGCTGGGTTAAAAAGGGACAAACCCAGCTATTGGGTTGTTTTGACCCAGCGGTTGGGTTGTTTTGATCCAGCTATTGGGTCCAATAGCTGGGTTTGTCCCTTTTTAACCCAGCGCTGGGGTTATATTTAACCCAGCATTTTTTAGAGTGTAGAGTTCTCATCATAAAATGGTGTATAAACAACGATTATCAGTATGTATTTATGTGTACAAATATTGCAGTGCATTGCTTTTCCTCTAAAGCACTATTTACTTTTTGTTTTTCTGTAGACATGCTCTCTGATGAGCCTAATCCAGGCACTCGTCCGCTAAAGCGTGACTCAGAGCAGAAGATCCTCAGTGCAACGCTCAGACTCAACAACAACTTTCTCTCTGACTTGACGGGACTGATGGACACGCTCTCCGCTCTTTACGCTGAGCCCACGCGTCTGGCCTGGCTCGACATCTCCTTCAACGAGTTTCAACACATCCACCCAGTACGCACTTTACCACCTCAGTCTGACAGCTGAGCACAACGATTTGTGTAATTACTGAAATAAGAGATGACCTGCTTTGGGAAAAAAAGTCATTCTCTCTCTTTCTTTCAGGTTCTCACTCAACTTAAAGAGCTACGCTTGTTGTATCTGCATGGAAACCGTATTTGTAAGTTGTCAGAAGTGGATAAACTTGCTGTGTTGCCGTTTCTCCACACCATCACTCTGCACGGCAATCCCATAGTGACCGAGCGTGACTACAGGTACGGTCAAAGGTCAGTTAGATGCACAAGTCAGGGAGCAGAAGGGTTTCCAAAAATGACAATTCGGTCATCATTCTTCACCCTTATGTCATTCCAAACGTGTATGACTTACTTTCTTCTGTGCAACACAAAAAATAAAAAAAGAAAGAAAAATGGCACATGGCATGACCGATGGCGAGTAAACGATAACAGAATTGTCATTTTTGCCTCGGTACACCATTAAAACGCTTTATGTCAAATACAAAGAGCTCGTCCTGCTGTATGTGAACTCTGTGATTTTCCGTACTGGTCGTGTTTCTGACACAACAGGTGCTGAAACTGCGGTTAAGATCTGGTTACAAACCTCTGCTGTCCTGTGCATAGCAACAGTAATCACATTTAGTTCTGATACGCACATGGCATATGCATGTGTAAAACCATTCTCAGCCCAGGCCCTACAATCTCACAAGAACATGTTCGGCTCTGGTTTCACTTCAAAATCAAAGAGAAAGAATTGAGACAATATATTTTGCCCAAAGAAGCTTATTTTAAGTACAACTAAGATTTTTTTTTGCATTGCATGTTTCAGAGTCGAGCACCATTTTCCCCCTAAATTCTCATTACCGGAGTTCAAAAACTAAATATATTTTAAGTAATAAAATATTTATACATTATGGTTTTAGTTGTTGTACTGCTATTAATTAATAAAAACTTGAATAAAAAAAATGAAAATGCAGCTATTCAAAAAAAATTTGATTTTGGGGTAAAACATGACATGGAAATGTTTTCACAAGATTCACATATATTATTTATAAATAATATTCAGTGTTTTCAGTCTTTTTTTTTTTTTATGTAAAACTTCAAATGTCAATGGACTATAAATGTGTGACTGCGGCCAGTTTTACAAGTTCTGTTGACATTAACAGCTTTTATTAAATTATTTTTATATTCTGTAATCTCAAAAGTCAATTATATTATAATTATAGATAGATAGATAGATAGAACGATGGATAGATTTTACAATAAGGTCCCATTAGTTAATTCTAGTTAGACTATTAACTAAAACATGACTGTTTATTGTTAGTTCTTATATCTCAGGTCCATTAAAGGGGTCATATGACGTTGCTAAAAAGAACATTATGTTGTGTATTTGGTGTAATGAAATGTGTTTATGCGGTTTAAGGTTCAAAAAACACATTATTTTCCACATACTGTACATTATTGTTTCTCCTCTATGCCCCGCCTTTCTGAAACGCATCGATTTTTACAAAGCTCATCGGTCTGAAAACAACGAAACACAGCGTCACACGCGGCCTAGAGTGAGCAGAGGCTGGGGGCTAGAGTGAGAGGAGGCCGGTGGGCTTGAGAATGGCGCGGCCGGCGGATTCGACGAAGGAGCGTCCGGTGGGCTTGCGGCAACCACATGTGACTACCCCGGGCTGGACTCCGCTTCGTCCACGGTCAGCGACCAGCACGGATCAGCTCTAGGCATGACGAAGCGGATATCGTCCTCTTTTGGAAGACCAAACAAAGTAGTTTCGCTTTCACAACGAAACACAGTGCCTTCACGACATGCCGGCGGCGGCAACAATACTACAGCGAGAATAAAAGTTACGCCTTCTTTCTTTGCGTGAACATTTGGGCGGTGTTATGCAAATCTTCCCACATCGTGACGTAGACATGTGGGGGCGTGTTAGAACGAGCCGTTTTAGGTAGGCGTGGCTGACTCTTAACTTTTATAAAGAATATCTCTTTGGATTTGAGACTTTAGTCTTTGCAACTTTACAGATCTTCTTTATGCACCAAGAGCTTGTAACACTCCAAAGAGAAAGAAAAAATTTAAATCGCATATATGACCCCTTTAAATTTTAAGATATAACTTTAATAATGTATTAGTAAATGTTGAAATTAACATTAACTAAGATTAATAAATGTTTTATGAGTATATTTCATTGTTAACAAATTGAATATTTTCAATAATTTCTGTCATGAAATGTTGAATTTCTCAGAATTGTTTATGGAATCACAGTTCAGGTCACAAAAAGACAAATTCTTTCACTAAATTGCTTTTCTGCCTCTCTTGTAGGGCACATTTGATCGGCACCCTTCCTCATGCGAAGATGATTGATTTCAGCGCTGTGACTAAACAGGAACGGGAGTTGACTTCAGTTTGGCAGAGGAGCAGAAACCCACACAAATCCATGAGTCACAGCAAAGTGGACTGAACCTTCTCCATCCGACATCCTGATATTCTAATAAACATGAATGTGGAGTTACAGCTACGGTTTGATCTGCAACAGAGAGGCTGACTTTAAATCTAGCCTCCTTCAAAACAGTAAAATAGTAGTAGACCTGGAGTTGCTTTAGTCAGCCAGAGTGTTTCTTCATTAGTTGTTGATGAAGCCACATGAATAAGTGGTGAAACATCTTAAGCAACAGAAAAACGTCCATTTAACTAGAACATCTTTAAAGCCATGGCACAACGTTTCTTTGAGAACTGCAATTAGCAATTCAAGAATGGATGAACAAAGTTTTCTCCTTGCACTCACCACCAATGTATATCTGCTACACACAAGACAAAAAAAATTATGCTTTATAATTTTGAAAGACTTTAATGCATATTTTCATTCAACAAAAACAGTTTTAGCAGAATATTGAGACTAAATTTTTGGTACTAGCCTAAGAAGAGTTATCTCTGTAAATCAGGTAGTATTCCATAATTAGGTAACAGACAAACAAACAAACTTGAGCACTAATAGTAAACTGCAACAGAAAAAGTATTGCAGCGCATTTTATCCCTTTAAAAATCTCAAAGAAAGGCAAAAGTGCCTTGCCATGATCAAGAGAGCGAATTGTGCCACACTGTCTGTGAGCTTGCATAAATATATAAAATCAAAATAAATAATTACACAAACATACTGTGTGGCATTTCAAACTCTGTCAGGATTCAGGAAAGAACGCTAGCTGTTTGAATTCACTAATTAGTTCCTTGTTTTCAGGCACAACAGCAAAAAAAAAAATAAATAAAACTAGACTAAGTTAAAGCAATGTAATAATATATTTTTATGATGTTAAAAGTGAAACAGTTAAGGTAAAAGCGTCCCGTTTGCTTAGCTAAAAACAAGCTACGGATCGTAGAGCCGTTTACACTTCCCACTACACAAGTATTAATCATTCATCTCAAATCATTTTACACTCTGTACATTAAAGGTATTGACACAAAAACATCATTTACAATCTACGAATTCCCGCCGCAACAACTCAGACCCACTTCCCCGTCCAAATCACCAGGATTTGGTGGTATGATTATTCGTTAGACAGGCCACGCTATTCTGGCTCGGTTTAACCGGTGTTTTTTTTTTTTTTTACAATAAGACTGCATGACCGTTTGAAAGTTATAGGAAAGGTGCACAGTAAGTGAAACACTTTCTCTTCCGTTAAAAGCAATAGCAGAGCCACTTCAGAGGATTCAAAATCTCAAATGAAATTACTGATATGACGTGCCGCGGTACGTCAAACCAAAGACTATAGAATGCCTTAAAGGTACTTTGGTCAAACGTACCGTGATATTTACACTCCGCCATAAAAAAATGCATATATATATATATATTGACAGGAATGAAAATGAGGCTGTGAGGGACTGAAGTGCAGTGCGTTCAATTGATCGTACTGTTGTTTAACAGTGCGCTGACGAAACTTCTTTCTGAAGAAAATTTTCAGTAGACAAAAACTTCATAAATAGTTTAAAAGTTGTGAAATTACATTATATTTATACAGTGTGTGCTACTGTAAAGACTCTAAGGTAAGTCTATGCATCACAACCTCGTTTTCATCCATGTAAAATTCAATATGGCGTCTAACCTGATTAAGGTCTATTAGCAAATAGAGGAAAACAAAAACAGGAATTAATGTCTAAGTTTGCAGGACCTTCTTGGGCAGTTAACAGTGATGGACTCAAATCTAAACCAGTTGAAAATCAATTTGATAGAATTTCAAGCAGATTAGTCACGCAAAACAGAGTTCTACATCCAAATTAGTTAAAAAAACAAACGATGGTTAATGCAACATTATGTGTGTGTTACTCTGGTTAGACAGAAATATTATTTATCCATATTAATCTGCATCCCAATCTGGAACCTCAGTGCATACAATTATGAAATTGAATCAGAAATAATGAACTCTAAGCCACAGTGATTCCCGAATTCTACAGGAGAACAAATTTCATTACTGAACTGAACCATAACCTAAGTGTTAAGATGACCCAGCCAAACTGAGTAAATATAGAGTTAACTTTAGTACAAGTATAAGAGTAATCGAGAAGTCTGGATGTGCTACTTGGTTTAACAATCTCCAATCAGGACACTGAAAAGCCAACAGAAGAAGAATCAACAAGAACAAATAAAACTAAACTAAACAAAAGATTTTCAAATACATTTCTGATGTATTTGTTGAAAAAGTGTTTGATTAAAACTACCAGTAACTGATCAAATGTTTTTACTCTCGCGGATCTGTGCTGTGGCAGCGGCTGACGGATTTACACAAGGAGCTCCGGTTGGGGTGAACTATATTTATCTGCAAGGCATTCAGAGAACAACGACACGGGCGTCTGCATCTCAAGAAGTTTGGAAGGAGAACGGAGGAGTGAAAAGGGCTAGAATTAGAGACAGAAACAGAGGAACTGGGGGGGAAGGAGGTCCATCTTTTGAATCATGGTATAGCAAACTGCACCACCAGCTCTTCCTTGGCATCTACTTTGATTTGTGAGATGGCGCTGTAGGCATACGCAGCAATCTTAGACACCTGAGGAGGGAAAAAATGCAATAAATCAAACAAAACGCTGAATAATATGCATCATTTCTAGTGATAGACCAATACATCAACTATTCATCACATCGCCAACAGCCTGACCAATGGAAAATGCACAATTTATGTCATACATTTTTTTAAACTTATGTAAACTACTGCTCAAAAGTTTGGGGACAGTAGAAGTTTTTAAAAAGAAATGAATACTTTTGTTCAGCAAGGATGCATTAAAATGATCCAAAGTGACCGTTAAGACATTTATAAAGTTACAAAAGATTTCTATTTCACATAAATGCTGTTCCTTTTAAACTTTCTGTTCATCATCAAAGAATCCCGGAGAAAACGTTCCACAGTTTCCACAAAAATATTAAGCAGCACAACGTCTTAGAACATTGATATAGAACACTGAAATAGAAAAGTTACATTAAATTCTAATAATAGTTTTCATAATATTACTGTTTATACTGTAATAAATGCATGCCTTGTGAACATCATCTTCATTCCGAAATGTAAAAAATCCTAATAAACCTCTAACTTCAGAACAGTAGCATATTTATAGATTCATACGTGCATCTTTAATATATACATATTATATAAAAACAGTTGTTTAAAGCATATATGCATGCATGCATGTCAACTGCTACAATTAAACTACATTAGCTTATTTATATATTGGAATATATATTACATATTACTGAATTGATCTCTAGTTTTCACTGTCTGTAATCAATCACTAATAATTTTCACACCAGGCTTTGGCATGTAAAAGGCAGTCTAATGTACAGTGAGGCGGTCATTTAATAACCGAGTCTGACCTGCTGTACATCTGCGTAGGAGACCAGGTCAGCGGCGAGCACCTGGTGAGGTTGGCTGCTCAGAGACGGGAGAGGAACCGGCTTCTTCTGAGACAGCGTTCTGCTCAACACATCCAGCTTCGTGCTTTAACACAAACACATGATTCAGCTTAATACATAACCTATGTGCAAATCTTCATCAGCTTAAAAAATGGACATATCACACATCCAGTGATGCATGGTTATGACGTCACAATAACATACAACCAGCCAAATGGCATTTCAGTAGTGTAACACACCTGTACTGTCTGGCTCTGTCCATGTATTCATGTTGCTCCATGCCTTGGGAATCAACAGCCGACACGTCAATTATGTTCCTAACCAACAGGAAACGAAAAGTAAGTTTTAAATCTACCAACAGCCCAAACCGTGTAATAAATGACTCGACGGTCACAGTGAAAGGGAACGTGTGTGTCGTACAGGGCTGTCCGCTGCAGGATGGTCGTGAGCAGGGCCTGTTCATCTGTGCGGTTGGACGGCAGGCTGTCAGCGTTTCGATCCGAGCCATTGGTGGGTATTTTGTTTAAGTTTGGGTCAGGAATCAATGGCTTTACCTCTTCACTCTGCACAAAAGAGCCAAAAAGAGTTTGGTCAAAAGCATGATCATCACACCTCCTGAAAAACCATCGGTTCACTCTTTTGAGAAGGCAATGGTAGCCTAAAACAATGTCTAAATAGCTATTTGTCTAACCAGTATGCCACACACCCTAGGTGAAAATAATGTTGTGTCAGAGTCTGCAAGTTACTACATTTTGAAGGAACATGTTGCCAAGCTGCTCCTGAACCTGTCATAAATGTACTGCTCTGGCTAACAACATTGGCTAAATGACTTCTTACATCATAAGCACAAACGCCAACTACTTATTCAATTACATCATATAACCAAACATGAACCGGCCCAAAAAGTGATTTATACAAAAAATACTTTTCCGTTACTTTTTTGACTATTAGTGACTATTAGTGTATAAGGATTTTAATTGTTTCATAGAGATTTGCTTAAATAAATGAAATAATTAAAAAGTCCATGAAATATTTTAGAGCACAAGCATTATAGAGCACTTATAGACTTGTGACGGTATTCGGTAATGCGGTATATCACGGTCATGATTATGCACGATATTGTTATCGTGGGCTCTTCTAAACACCGTGAATAATTATATATTACAAGTTATTCAGAATTTTGTAGGCTATTTATTTTCAAACTTTTTATTATATATATATATATATAAAATATTAATAAAATATAATACAGTAAGCATAACAATGTGAAAATATGACATTTTAAATTTCTTTGCATTTTTTTCCATTATGGTTGTAAATGGACCGAAATAATAAATCATTTATAAACCACAGATTCTCAGTGTGGTCTCAGACTTTTGCACAGTTATACAGAAATAGAAAACACCAAGCCTGGATTTGAAAATCCACTGTTATATTAAAGTTTTCTGTGAGTGGAAACCCTGTATATGTATAATTTCCTCCTGCATGAGCTCATGTCAGACACAAGCCTAGTTCCTCCCCACACACAGTTACTCTCAATTTATGACATTTCCCATGTCTAATCATCATGGCACCAGCAGTAAAGCCAGTAATTCTGAATAAACAAATAATTTAATGAAATTAGGCATTAGAGTAAGTTTGTCGTAGTTTTGAAACACACTCAATACTGGCCTGTTCTTGAAGCATTTCAAACACACACCAACATTAAGTGCGTGTTGTCTGTAATTCAAATTGCTGTTTGGCTGCATATTGATTAAATCTCCTCTACCTGCTCCGACGTTTCGCTATCGCTGCTGAAACAGCACCCCATGACAGCCGTCCAGCAGGTTCAGTCTCTTCTCTGTGTGCGTTTTTCGTCTTAGAAACAGTTTATTTGTCTGTTGACTGTAAAGTGCTTCGCTGCAAACACAGGAACCATCACATGACAGAACTCCCAGTCGCGTCACGTGACTTCCGTCTCCACACAAAACGCTGTGACGTCAGTTCCGTCCGTTCGCAGAACGCGTTTGTCAAGTGCTACATCTTATTATGCGTGATATTCTCCAAAATGCAGCAATTTTGATGAAAATATCGACATTGAAGGATGTAGATACATTTGGACGTGTATAATCAGAAGTGCTGGGGAAAGTTACTTTTAAAAGTAATGCATTACAATATTGCGTTACTCCCTAAAAAAGTAACTAATCGTGTTACTTGGTTACTTTTTATGGAAAGTAATGTGTTACGTTACTTTTTTTCATCTGGGCTGCTCTTTTCAGCAAGAAAAAAAGGAAACAAAAATGTTATGTTTATCTAAAGTCTTTTTTGCTGGTTGAATTGAATCATTGAAGGTCAGCAGCAAAGACACTGGTCAATAATGAGTTTGCATTTCACTGTTTTTATTAGTTTTGAGGAAACTGAATCTGTTGTTGTGCAAGTGTGATGAGGACAGGAGAGCTGTCAGTCAATAAATGGGAAAACAAAGTAACTGGCGTTACTTATTCGAAAAAGTAACTCAAGATATTTCCTTGTAAACTAAAAAGTAATGCGTTACTTTACTAGTTACTTGAAAAAAAGTAATCTGATTACGTAACTCACGTTAACGCGTTAAACACTGATAATCAGAAGCTGGGTAGTAACTGATTACATGTAATCTGGATTACTTAAAGGGATAGTTCACCCAAAAATGAAAATTCGATCATTAATTACTCACCCTCGTGTCGTTCCAAACCTGTAAAACCTTTGTTCATCTTCTTAACACAAATTAAGATATTTTGGATGAAGTCCGAGAGCTTTCTGATCCTCCATAGACAGCAATGCAACTGAAATGTTTTATGACCCAGAAAGGTAGTAAGGTACCACAATTTTTGTCTTGTAATTTGGAATCAGTAACGGATTACGATTTTCAAGTAATCTACCCAGCTCTGCCTAAAATTAGTAACCTAGATTACGTTACTGACAACAGTTTTCATCATGCAATCTGTAATCAGTAACGGCCTAACATTTGTAAGTAATCTACCAAGCTCTTTGCGTAATTAATAAAGTATAGAACTATCACAGAAAAAAAGGTGCAGTCAATGCAATGCATTTTTTCCTTAACATCATTGGTTCAGTTTAACCAATCAGGGCTGAGTGAGGAGGACCTGTCATCAGTTTGCCATCTTGTGTTGGTGAGATGCGAGTATTGGATTTTTAACACGATAAGGGACCAAATTTGATCGTACGACTGTATACTCAAGTGGATGAACAAAATATTCTCATTGTCCTTACCACCAATAAATGTATACTACACACATTCAGTAAAATAAAATAAAAACAACATTTTATAATTTTGAATGTCTTTAATGCGTAATTTTGTTAAACAAAAAACAGTATTAACAGATTATTAAGATTACATTTTTGGTACTAGCCTAAGAAGAGTTATCTCTGTAAATCATTAGAATTCCACATTTAGCTAACAAATAAACTTGAGCACTAATAGTAAACTGCAACCGAAAACAACACATTTTATCCCTTTAAAAATCTCAAAGAAAGGCAAAAGTGCCTTGCCATGACCTAGAGAGTGAATTGTGCCACACTGTCTGTGAGCTTGCATCAATATATAAAATCAAAATAAATAATTACACAAACATATTGTGTGGCATTTCAAACTCTGTCAAGAAAGAACGTCAGGTAATCATTCAACTCGAATCACTTTATACTCTGTACATTAAAGGCATTGACACAAGAACATCATTTACAATCTACAAATTCCCGCCGCAACAACTCAGACCCACTTCCCCGTCCAAAACACTCAGATTTGATAGTATGATTATTCGTAAGACAGGCCACGCTGAAAACAAGGCTGTGAGGGACTGAAGTACAGTGCGTTTAGTAGATTGTACTGTTGTTTAACAATACAGCGATTGTTCAGCTGACGAAACATCTTTCTGAGAAAAAAAAAAATCATGGTATAGCAAACTGCACCACCAGCTCTTCCTTGGCATCTACTTTGATTTGTGAGATGGCGCTGTAGGCATACGCAGCGATCTTAGACACCTGAGGAGGGAAAAAATGCAATCAATCAAACAAAATTCTGAATAATGTCCATTATTTCTAGTGACAGACCAATAAATCAGCTGATAACAAATGCATGATTTGTTAAAAATTCGTTTTTATTATTTATATACACTACTGTTCAAAAGGTTGGGGACAGTAAATGTTTTGTTACACTGTAAAAAAAATTCCGTAAAATTTACGGTAAAAAACCGGCAGCTGTGGTTGCCGGGAAAGAAATGAATACTTTTAATCAGTGAGGATACATTAAATGTACAAAATGTGACTTTATGATATCCAGTTACTGAAGGAAAAGACTTCTATTTCAAATAAACGCTGTTCCTTTGAACTTTCTATTCATCAAAGAATCCTGAAAACAATTACGGTTTACGCAACAACTGTTTTCAACATTGATAATAATCAGAAATATTTCTTGAGCAGCAAATCAGCATATTAGAATGATTTCTGAAGATCATGTGACACTGAAGACTGGAGTAATGATGCAGAAAATTCAGCTTTACGTCACAGGAATAATAAATTAAATTTTTTAATATATTCAAAATAGAAAACACTTACTTTAAATTGCAAAAATATTTCACAATATTACTGTCTTTATTGTAATAAATGCACCCTTTTGAACATATTCTTCATACATATATACTTTGGAATGTCAAAAGCAGTCTAATGTATTGTGAGCTGGTCATTTAATAACAGCCAAGCGCATGTGCACAATGAAACCGAGTCTGACCTGCTGTACATCTGCGTAGGAGACCAGGTCAGCGGCGAGCACCTGGTGAGGTTGGCTGCTCAGAGACGGGAGAGGAACCGGCTTCTTCTGAGACAGCGTTCTGCTCAACACATCCAGCTTCGTGCTTTAACACAAACACATATGATTCAGCTTAATACAGCTCGAAAACACACACATACACACACACACACACACTGCATGGACATTTATAAAGAACTACAAAGCAAAAGTTAACAAATGGTGGGCAGTTACAGAACTTATAGTCCATCCAAAAATGAAAACTGTCATCATTTACTCCCCCTTGTGTCATTACAAGAATGTTGGTAAAGAAATGGTTTTCGGGTCTCATTGACTTCCATAGTAAGGACAAAAATACTATTGGACCTAGTCAATGGGACCTGAAATGAATTGGTTACCCACATTCTTCAAAATATCTTCTTTCATGTTCCACAGAAGAACAGGGTTTCTTGCAGGTATTATGAAAGTAAATTGAGGACTTCTTAAGACCTTTTTAAGACTGTTAACGAAAATGTAAGGAATTAATTGAATGGAACACAATGCTTCAAAATGTAAATGTCTTGCGTTAGCAATGCTTCAAAGTTTGAAAGTACAACTTCAATAGATTTTTTAAATTAAATTCACACAAAAAAGCATAAACTTTCATTTCAGTTTCTCAGGAAACAAGACTTCAATTTGCTTCTCAAGTAAACTTATTGGAAGTTTAGATATTGGAAAACAAAAAATACTGAGTAAGATATTCATTTTTTGCAGTGCATGCAACATCTTTTGCGATAACTATGAATTTAAGACTCTGATTTAGGACCTTTTTAGTCCTTAATATGTGGAAGAATCAAGTAAGACTTTTTAAGACCCGCAGAAACCTTGAAGAAAGAAAATCATACAGGTTTGGAATGACATGAGGGTGAGTAAATAATCACAAAGTTTTTGGGTGAACAGTCCCTTAAACTAATATAAAATTTAAGCTAAAATCTTGATGTTGTTAAAAAAATACAAATAAATAATTGACATTACACAGCTAGTGTTGCATGTTTATGATGTCACACCATTGGCATCAATGGCATTTCAGTAGTGTAACACACCTGTACTGTCTGGCTCTGTCCATGTATTCATGTTGTTCCAGGCCTTGAGAAATAACAGCCGACACGTCAATTATGTTCCTAACCAACAGGAAACGAAAAGTGAGTTTTAATCTACCAACAGTGAACAGGCCAAACTGCAAACAAACCGTGTAATAAATGACTCGACGGTCACAGTGAAAGGGAACGTGTGTGTCGTACAGGGCTGGCCGCTGCAGGATGGTCGTGAGCAGGGCCTGTTCATCTGTGCGGTTGGACGGCAGGCTGTCAGCGTTTCGATCCGAGCCATTAGTGGGTATTTTGTTTAAGTTTGGGTCAGGAATCAATAGCTTCTTTGGGTCGTCCTGCACAAAAGAGCCAAAAGGAGGCTGTTCAAAAGCATGATCATCAACACCTCCTGAAAAACCATCGGTTCACTCTTTTGAGGAGGCAATGGTAGCCCCAAATAGCTATTTGTCTAACCAGTATGACAAAATAAAGATGTGTCAGAGTTCACAAGTTTCTGAAGTAACATGTGCAAAAGGAGTCAATTTGATTTCATTTTAAATGTAATCTCAGGTTGCTCCAGGTGAACTAAACCTGTTATTTATATACTGCAAGTTGCTCTGGCTAACAACATTGGCTAAATGACTTCTTACATCGTAAGCCCAAACATCAACTACTTATTAAATTACATCATATAACCAAACATGAACCTGCCCAAAAGTGATTTATACAAAAAATACATTTCCATTACCAGTGTTGGGGGGTAACACATTACACGTAATGCGAGTTACGTAATCAGATTACTTTACTAGAACTAGTTACTTTTAATTTACAAGGAAATATCTGAGTTACTTTTTTAAATAAGTAACGCCAGTTACTTTGTTTTCCCGTTTATTGACTGCCAGCTCTCCTGTTCCCATGTTGAGAGAAATCGGGAGTGCAGAGGTGTTGTGTGTGTCTTTTTTTACAGTCTATGACGCAAACCTGCAATAATGAACTATGTTAAATAACACAAACATCCTTTATGTATTTAATCCCATTTTATTAACCAGTGTCTTTGCTGCTGACCTTCGATTATCCAGTTCAACCAGCAAAAATTATCATTTTAATGTTAACTTGTTTTATTGCTGAAGAGTGTTGAACTTTCTTCTCCTGCATCTTATTCTTCATGCAATCCAGAATAGCAGCAGCACAGCTGAAGGTTTGTTTGAGCTGCGCTCTCTACTGTACAGTCGTGAATTTACATTTCCTTCAGCCTGAGGATTATTCATTTCACTTTTGGTGTGAAAGGGCTTTTACATTTGCCAAAAGTTATAGGTTGTATATTAAAAACAAACAAGCAAGCCCAGATATAGGAAAACGCGTTACAATCTATAGAATGTAACTAACACGATTAGTTACTTTTTTAGGGAGTAACGCAATATTGTAACGCATTACTTTCAAAAGTAACACTGTCCATTACTTTTTTCAACTGTTAGTGATTCATGTATAAGGATTTTTAATCGTTATACAAAGTAATACTAATAAATATACATAATAGAAATACCTAAGTGAAATATTAGGAGAAATTAGGCATTAGAGTAAGTTTGTTGTAGTTTTGAAACACCACATGTCAAATCTAGGGGTCTGACACATCTAGACACAGACACCAGCTTAAGTTCCCAACACTTACTTTCAGTTTGTGACAGTTTACATGTCTACTCATCATGGCACCAGAAGTAAACTATTCTGATAAGAAAAGTAGGCTCATGTAAAGATATTAGACATTGTTGTAGTTTTGTAGCATTGCTGTAGTCTGTTCTTTAATAACACACACCAACATTAAATGTGTGTTGTATGTAATTCTTGTTGCACGGATACAAACCCCACATTATGTTGTATTTTATAGCTGTTTGCGTGTATATTGAATAAACCTTCTCTACCTGGTTGCTCCCGGCGCTGAAACAGCACCCCATGACAGCAGTCCAGCAGCTTCAGTCTCTTCTGTGTGAGTTTTTCGTCTTAGAAGCGGTTCGTTTGCTTGTTTGCTGTTAAGAGCTTCGCTGCAAACGCAGGAACCATCACATGACAGAACCAAAGCAAGCCTGCAAGGTTGGCAAAAAAGCGTACTGCGTTCAGCAGCGACACGCAGCGACAAAGACACAACCCCATTCATTTCAACAGGTTTGCAATTGAATTTGTGCTTTTGAAAAATTAATATCTCACATTTATTAACATTACACACATTTGTGAATTAAAAAATAAATTAAGAATGCACTTATTTGGATCAAATGGCCAATGTAATGATACATGATCTAATGTAGCCTAATTATATTCCCTGTAGGTTTTCATATACAGGAGATTGAAGTGAAGTGAAGTGACATGTGGCCAAGTATGGTGACCCATACTCGGAATTAGTGCTCTGCATTTATCCCATCCAACGTGCACACACACAGCAGTGAACACACACCCAGAGCATGAGTGATATATATCTTGTTGTAAATTTATATATAAAGTCCAATTCAAATATTAACCATATTTAGCCCATCAGACATACTGTCTAATCATAAACTGTGTTAGAATACTGTATGTATATAGCTGCGTATGTAAACTTAAAAAAAAATACCTTAATTAGGCTGCAAATAGCCTATGCAAGGGAGACGTGCAGCAGAAAAAAACAACAACACTGTAACTGTAATCAAATGAAAGTGACTAGAAAGTCGAAACTATGATGTGCAGCATCCAGAGATTTGTGGAGAAGAGTGCTTTGAGAAGCATGTCACTGTGTGCACTGAGGATACACAGAAGAGAGAAGAGCGAGAGACACCAGCTAAAGCTAAAAGTGAAGCAGCTATTCTGTGTTTTTAATTGCTCGTTTTTTTCTTGCCAGAAACACTCTGTATTTCCTAACAGCAAATATGTTCACGTAACGTTTAAGAAAGTAAATGCAGTAACTTATTTTGGATTTCTTCAGATCTGGTCCTTTGGCTCTCAGTATTGATCACAGTTCACACCTGCAGTGAAGCCCCTCCTACAACAATTCACCTGAGAACAATTCATACTGGGAATATTCACATAATCCTACAAGAGAAGGACAAACTCCAGGTGCAGCAGCTGAAATCTGTGTGACTGTTAAAGATGGAGTTTGTTAAAGAGGAGATTGACGACATGAGTGTTTCAGAACCATCCAGAATAAAACATGAAGATACTGAGGAACAAACAAGTTTGTGTCCATTCTTGATTCTTCAGTATGGACTGCTTAGAAACATCGAAGTTTCAATTAAAAATATTTAGTGGCTGTGAAATAATGAGCATGATAAATGATCACCTTAATGATCATCTTAACTACATATCCACATTTTAATTGTATTAATAAAGAATGACATAACTAACCTCTAGCACATCAAAGATCTGATACTTGATACTCACAGATAAATATGTGACCTGCTTTTGGTTTGGTTTCTGCTATTTAATCAGGTTCACTTGAACTGATTTTAACCACATTATTTATTTATTTTAGACTGGATGGAAGTAAAACAGCAAAGACATGAGGTGAATGAAGTGGAGGAGGAACCTAAGAATTCAAGTGCTCATATTGTGACAAGAGTTTAATTCAGTCTGAACACCTGAAAGTACATGAGCGAGTTCATACTGGAGAGAAACCGTACCACTGTACTCAGTGTGGAGAGATTTTCAAACATTCAAATTCTGTAGAGAATCATATGAAAAATATCCAGGTGCTTTATTGGCATGACAAATATTTGTACATTCATATTGTCAAAGCACCGTTTCTGCATGTAATTACAATGAGAATAGTGCAAAACAACAAAGACAAAACAGTGTAACTGACAATTAGTGAATGAATAGTCTGACAGAAACACAGCCATCATGTTTAAATGAGCTGCTGAAAAGCCAATAGTTCCCTGTTTTCAGCTCATTCATTATGATGATGTCTGAGATCTTCTGTAAATTGGCACATTAAGCTCATTTCATTCCAACTACAGGATCAACAATTAGCATTTTCATTCAGTCTGTCTGCCGGTGTCCTGACATTTCATCATAACCGTCAGATTGTCTTAACAGGGCTATACTGCGCATGTGCACATCAATATTGCATTAATTTTCACATGCTAAACAACACATAATAACTGTATTTTCATTACTGTAAGGGTAGGCTTAGGGTTGGAGTAGGTGTAGGTGTTAATAAAGCATAATCTGATGGGTAGCATTTTTTGTTGTCGCATTGTGCTACCTACTGTTTCACAGGGAGATATAGCAAAATCTGACAGGGTAGCACAAATCATCTGGTTCAGACCAATTATATATTATACATTCTATATAACGTTTTGGTTTTGTATTTTTTTTCCACCGCTGATTTCATTGGTCAACGCAATCACTCAGTCACCTGCCAACAAAAGACTTCATGGATTCAGTTCACAGCTCTTTCTGATGAAAGAAATACATAAATGAAGAAGAATGCCAAAATATTAAATGTCATGGATGAATATGTATTGAGTAATCAATATTTTAGGGAGAAGCTAAATTAAAGGGTAAAAAATAACTTTATAAAGACGGCAGCATCATTATTTTATTTTTACACAGATAAGGTCTATTAAAATCAGCTGAGTTTAGCAAAGCTTGCTACATTATATGCCAGTGGTGATGCTTCAAAAACTGGGAAAAAAGCAACTGTTGTATTTTTTCCTGAAGTTTGCAGGCCTGTAACTCAAGAAATATTAAAGATATCTCAGTATCCTTTTATAAAATGGTTCTTAAACTTTTCTTTTGATATCTTCATTTTTAAGGTCCTATATGGTTTGGTTTGATAGAAAAAAGAAGATGCATTTCTAGTTTCAAGATTATTTGTTCCTCGGACATTCCTCTGTAAATAAGTAGCAGCTGTATGAAAATGAGTAAAATTCAACAATATACTAATATAGACACATTGCGATCCCCATATCGCCGGGATTGAAATATATAGGGCTTTAAAAATGAGGAATCAAGGAAAATTTGTGAAGAACCAGAATCTCAACACTGAAAATTGAACAATTGCACATATCCATTACTCTGGAATTGAAACATATATGGCCTTAAAAATTAGAATATTGAAAGAAATGTTTGTTAAGAACAATTAAGAAGAACCATTAACCACCTAAAAGGTTATTGAGATATCTTTAACACTTATTGAGATACAGGAGTGCAAACTTCAGAGAAAAATAAAAGCATAAAAAGTGCTTTTCGCATTCTTGAACTGTCACAATGCAACAAGTATTGCTGAAGTCAACAGATTGTACTTATAGAGTTACCAATCTTTGTGCAAAAATAAAACATCAATGATGCCATCTTTTTAAAGTCTTTTTTCACGCTGTAATTTGGCCCCATATCCCACATGAAAGTTGGGGAAGTTTCTGAAATTCGTTTGATTTGACACAAAAAATAAAACTATACTAAGGTCACGAGTTTGTACTGGATTTGTTTCAGTGTTGTGTAGGCGTGTCACTGTGATTGACACGACCAATGAAATCTTCAGAATCTGTGGTGGGCGGAGTTTGTGCTTTAACTGTGTTAAAAAGGTGAGGAACATTCATATCATCCTACAGGACTGGTGCAGACTCCAGGTGCAGCAGCTGAAATCTGACACATACTATGGTAAAGATGGAGTTTGTTAAAGAGGAGATTGATGACACGAGTGTTTCAGAACCATCCAGAATAAAACATGAAGATACTGAGGAACAAACAGGTTGGTGTCCTTTCTTGATTCTTCATTGTTGACTGCTGACAAAAATTAACGCTTCTGTTAAAAAGATTTAGTGGCTGTGAAATAATGAGCAACAGGAATGTTAAATTATTTCATTATTACATCATCTAACTGATCATATCCACATTTTAATTTTATTAACAAGGAATGACAGAACTAATCTTTGGCACATTAAGGATCTGATACTTCATACTCACAGATAAATATGTGACCTCCTTTGGTTTCTGTTATAAAATCAGGTTCACTTTAACTGATTCTAACCACATCATTTGTTTATTTTAGACTGGATGGAAGTACAACAGCAAAGCCATGAGGTGAATGAAGTGGAGGAGGAACGTTGCAAAGGCAAAACTTCAAGAAAAAAAGCCAAACAGCTTCACACCTGCTCACAGTGTGGAAAGAGTTTCAGACTAAAAGGAATCCTTAAACAGCACATGAGGATCCACACTGGAGAGAAACCGTACACATGCCCTCAGTGTGGGAAGAGTTTCAGACAAAAAGGAGTCCTTAAGAAGCACATGAGAATCCACACTGGAGAGAAACCATACACATGCACTCAGTGTGGAAAGAGTTTCAGACAAAAAGGAGTCCTTAAGAAGCACATAAGAATCCACACTGGAGAGAAACCATACATATGTCCTCAGTGTGGGAAGAGTTTTGCTGCAGCATCAGGTCTCAGTTATCATCTGCACGTTCACTCTGGAGAAAAGCCTTTTAACTGTGATCAGTGTGGTAAAAAGTTTATTTCTTCATCAAATCTAAAAAAACACCTGACAGTTCATTCAGATGAGAAGCCTCATGTGTGTTCGTACTGTGGAAAGAGTTTTTCACGGCTGGCCAGTTATAAACAGCACCAGAAAACACATGATGAAGTGAGAGATCATGTGTGTTGTGAGTGTGGGAAGAGCTTTACTAGAGCTGTCTATCTGAAACAGCACCGAAGGATTCATACTGGAGAAAAACCTTACAAGTGCTCATATTGTGGCAAGAGTTTCAATCAGTCTGGAAGCCTAAAAAAACATGAGCGAGTTCATTCTGGAGAGAAACCGTACCACTGTACTCGGTGTGGAGAGAGTTTTAAACATTCAAACTCTGTAGAGAATCATATGAAAAAGATTTGTCTGAAGTCGTCATTATGAGCAAAGTGTATCTATTCATCCAGTAAGTTAGTTTCCAGGTGCTTTATTGACATGACAAATATTTGTACATTCATATTGTCAAAGCAATTACAATGAGAATAGTGCAAAACAACAAAGACAAAACAGTGTAACTGACAATTAGTGAATTAATAGTCTGACAGAAACACAGCCGTCATGTTTAAATGAGCTGCTAAAAAGCCAATAGTTCCCTGTTTTCAGCTCATTCATTATGATGATGTCTGAGATCTTCTGTAAATTGGCACATTAAGCTCATTTCATTGTGTGTCAACAGACTAAGACAAACTACAGGATCAACACTTTATGTAATAATCACCTGTTGATGTGTGTTTTTAATCTTTTACCTCTCAGGTTAAAGTTCATTATTAAAAATACTATTAAAGGCTACAGAAACCATTCCTGCACTCGTCATGTTTTTGACATTGAAATAGCATAAATTAGCATTTTCATTCAGTCTGTCTGCTGGTTTTGTTCAGACCAATTATATATTATACATTATATACTGTATAATGTTTTGGTTTTGTATTTTTTTTCACTGCTGAATTCATTGGTCAACTCAATCACTCAGTCACCTGCCAACAAAAGACTTCATGGATTCAGTTCACAGCTCTTTCTAATGAAAGAAATACACAGTGGTGGATGAAGTACCTAAAAGCCACACTCAAGTAAAAGTACAGATATCTTACCAGAAAATGACTTTGGTAGAAGTTGAAGTCAATGTTTAGAATATTACTTCAGTAAAAGTTTTAAAGTATGTGATATTTATTGTACTTAAGTATGAAAGGTATTTTTTATATTAAACATAATTATTGTAAGTAAAAGTACAAGTAAATGCAAAATGGAAAAGGAGTAAATAAATATTAAAAAAATGTTTATACGCAGTTTGAGCAGCAAGATTGTATTAATTTGTAACTTTTTCTTCCATTTTGTATCTTTGGGTTGTCATAATTCAATTCAATTCAAATGTATTTGTATAGTGCTTTTCACAAAGACATTGTTTCACAGAAAATGCAGGTGTCTACATTACAGTTTAGAGTGATCTTTTATAATATAATATAGAATAAGAGTCACTTCATCTGGTACGAAGACTCTTTCATTCCAACATAAGAAAACCTTTCTGGGATCTGCATCTGAAGTGGCATTTAGATGTATTTACACAGTTTAATGTAGCGGGGACATTGATGCATTTAACCTGCAGTTACAAATGCATAAATAATGCTTTGTTTTAAACATAAAACGTTAAATAATAATATTTGAAATGATTTAAAACATGAAAAAATAGTTGAAATGTGAAATTAAAACCACCAGTAGGAGGCAGCAAGTCACTGTAAACGAGTGAGTGATTGAGATTCAGACGATTCATTCAAACGGCTGATTCATTCAGGAACGAAGCATTCGACTGTGGTAATGAATGAGTCACTGAATCATTCATTCAACCAATTCGTACAAAAAGCTGATTCGTTCAATAAGGTAACACCGTCCTGTGTCTTGTTCAGAGACACAAAACAGCACTGTGATCTTTGTTTGGAACAATTTCCGTTGGCAAAATTGGGCAAAACAGGCAATATTGTGTCTGAAATGTAAGTCACTTAAAGGGTTAGTTCACCCAAAAATTATAATTCTATCATTACTCACCCTCATGTTGTTTCAAACCCGTAAGACCTTCGTTCATCTTCGGAACACAAATGAAGGTATTTTTGATGGAATCTGAGAGCTGTCTGACCCTGCATAGACATTAACGCAACTGAAATGTTCCCAAGTCCAGAGACGTAGCAAGAAGATCTGTAAAATAAACCATGTGACATCAGTGGTTCAACCGAAGTTTTACGAAGCTACTAGAATACTTTTTGTGCGCAAAAGAAAAAAAAAAGGCTTTATTCAACAATTCGTCTCCTCCGCATCACCCTGGTGCCATTTTGGAGAATATCCAAATCATAAACAACTTATGCTGTTCTGTGTCAGCTGCGTCACGCCGGATCTGTTTCCTACGTTGTTGTGATTTGATCTGAGCGGAAACAGCATATCCGTGTGATGCAGCTGACACAGAACAGCATAAGTTGTTTACGTCCAGCGGATACTCTCCAAAATGGCACCAGGGTGATGCGGAGGAGACGAATTGTTGAATAAAGTCGTAATTTTTTTTCTTTTGCACACAAAAAGTATTCTCGTAGCTTCGTATAATTGCAGATGAAGCACTGATTATTTTACAGATCTTCTTGCTACGTTTCTGGACTTGGGAACATTTCAGTTGTATTGCTGTCTATGCAGGGTCAGACAGCTCTCAGATTCCATCAAAAATACCTTAATTTGTGTTCCGAAGATGAACGAAGGTCTTACGGGTTTGAAACGACATAAGGGTGAGTAATTAATGACAGAATTTTCATTTTTTGGGTGAACTAACCCTTTAATGCTGGAGAAAAAAACACTCTTTGTGTGATATTAACTATATCAAATGATAAAGATATAGACATACAGAGGCATTTTTACCTACAATTTAGAATGCCTTTAATTTTGATGATTCTAAATGAGTTTTAATAGATTAAATCACGTAGTGGGTGTACTCTGTGTGTGTTTTTGTGATATACTCGATAATGTCAGATCGCACATCGTTAAACCAACACTTACAATCAGGGACGTGCACAGACATTTTTTTGGGGCACAAGTGGAAAAAAGGACACTTCTTATATTTATTAAATTTTTTTCCTAAACAAAACGTTACATATTAGGGGTGTGTGATATTGACAAAAATATATCTCGATATTTTCTGGGATTTTATCGATAATGATAATTAGACAACATTTTGCTGAGTGTGTTATTGTGCTAATATCTGATAAGGATAAGGTTGATAAGGACTACCGTGGACAGTTGACTCCTAAAGTTTTTGATATTCTGCATATTCTGTGTGGTGATCAGTTCACAGCAGTGATAGAAATTAATCTCTTCAAATAAGTTTAAATAGATTTGTACCTTTTATGGGCATTTTCACCTTTATAAAGCCATTTTTTTCTAAAAGTATGCATACTTTTTTCAGTCAAATTCTAAACTTGAATCAGTCAATTAATATTATAAGTCATTTGGGCTGTTACCAAGCAAATTAAATCAGTATTGACAAAATGTATCTTTGCAATGCAGAGAAAACACAGAAGCTGCATTAGAATGGACATTTAGATGCATCTACACACTGTTTAATGCAGGACATGAATGTTTTAACCTGCAGTTACAAATGCATTAATGCTGTTTTGATATTTTAAACATAAAATGTTGAATACTGATATTTGATTTTTTTTTGAATGAAAAGATATTTTAAATATGAAATTAAAACCACCAGTGGCAGCAAGTCACTGTTAATAAGTGAGTCATTGCAATTGAACCGAATAATTTAAACGGTTGATTCATTCAGGAACAAAACACTGTCATGTTGCTCAGAGAGGCAAATTGGAATTATATTTGTTGGTGAAATAGAGCAAAAACAGTCAATTGTGTCCAACGAAAGTGTATTACATTCTTGTTTAATGCACTGCTGTATAAAGTCTTAGTGTGCAACCCGGTATCACGCCAAAATGTGTAATAGACACGTTGGTCCACTCAATGATACGTGTGAGTGTCACGTTTTGCCTCCTCTAAACGTGAAAATGACACAACATATGAAGCTGGAGTTACCACTTGAGCACCAGCAGGGGCGATAATTTCCCCAATGCCAACAACTCCACACGGACCAAAGACAAGCGATATAATGCATTAAAAGATGGATTTAGATGACTTCAAGACGCATACAGGTAGGGTTTCCACCCGTCTCATAAAATAGTCGATCGTCCCGTATTTATAAATGAAATTATTAATTTTATATTTGTCATGGGAAAGGGATCATGTAAAAAGTCCACACATTTACCATATTTTTTACCATAGTAACTGACGCTCGACCATGTCATGTGTAGTCAATCCCTTACGAAAATTAACCATGTTTTTATTGCAGTAAAAGTGTAGTAACCATGTTTTTTTGGTTTAATTTGTAGACATGAAAAAATACTATAATAAATTATAGTAAATACTAGTGTTTTTGAACCATGCTATAGTAAAGTACTTGAATTAATTTGTTGTGGTAATTCTATAGTTTCTGTGGTAATATAACAATTATAGTAATATAAACAATTACTTTACCCAATACTGTACTAAGTTTTCTACAACTATAGGGTGTATTATACTACAATACACTACAGTTTACTGTAGTAAAAACTAAAGAATACTACAGTATTTATTACAGTTTATCAGTTCACTATAGTTACAGTATGCTGTAGCATTCATTAACAAAGTGTTGTGAATACTATAATATATACACAGTATAATACACTTTACTATAGTGGTTCAAAAACACTATAGTATTTACTATAAATTACTATAGTATTTTTTCATGTGGGTAATTTTCGTAAGGGATGCACAGTATCCACAACATATACCATGCTTCACCTTAAATGTATTTTTACTGTGGATTTTTTTATGTATGTTAACCACAGCACTTGTCATTTTACCATAGTAACTGTTTACTGTCTACTCTTTGTATTAAAAGCACTGTATAACACAGCACTTACCATGGTTTTACCACAGTGACTGTATTTTTAATGTAGTATTTGTAGTTAAAGCGCATAACCACAACACTTACTATGGGTTTACCTCAGTAGCCGTAGTTTTACTGTGGTATTTGTAGTTAAAACACAGTAACAACAACAATTACCATGCTTTTACCACAGTAACTGTTTTTACTGTATACTATTTGTAAACCACAATGCTTGCCACGCCTTTAATACCTTTTTGTGAAGTGATTGTAATTCAATATTTTTTTCTATCTTGCAGTTACGTCAGATCACATACTCCACAACAACCTGTAATCCAGCAGCTCTTTTAAGAAGCCATCCTCTTTCTCTCTCTCTCTCTCTCTCTCTCAGCTCTTCCTTTCCTTTCCTATTTTTCCAAACTGTAATCCACGATTCATTTACACATAATTTTGCTCTCTCTCTTTCTGTGGTTCATCATGGCCTATTTTTAAAACTCAGAATAAAATTTTGACCAATTATGTCAGAAAGCTGCTAGAATTAACAGGAAACTTGCACTCGAAGCTCCCAGTGCTGATCTTGAAGAAGCTGCCAAGGAGGCTGAACAAGTCCTTCAAAGGTTCAACCCTTCACAGGTTTTGTTTAACACTTTTAGTTGTAACCAATTTGCCTTAATGAACGCATCCTTATTTTATGGTTAATAAAAACTTTCCTTATAGTCCTTCCTATGAAATATTTTGGTCACAGATCATTTTTAACACACTGTCTCAACATGTATATATTTCTCTTTGTTTCAGCTGTAAAGGAAGACCAAAGGAAGGCCTGTCATGGGATTTGAATTTGACCATCTTGAGCATTTATGGAGCAGACCAAAAGCTGCAATGGCAAACACTTCCAATGGTACGTCTGTGTTGATCTGAGCACCTTGACTGAACTGTACTGCAGTTACATTTGCACAGCATTTGAGCAAAGGCAAACACTTCCAATGGTACGTCTGTGTCGGTCTGAGCACTTTGACTGAACTTTACTGCAGAGACATTTTGCACTGCAATTGATGTTTCTTAAACTTTGGTTTACACACCCTACGGCCCCCTCAGGAAGAACCCCCAGAAAAGTGTCATGTCGAAGTAGTAATAATTCATACAATTTACCAAGTCAGCAAATTCATATGATATTGTCTAAATATTCTACGACTTTTACTCTTACTGCTGACATTGGCCATTGCCTCAACTCTCATGCAGATTGTGCCCGTTGTAAGTAGTCAGTGTTTATATCATAAAGTTTATATTAAGTTCATTGTATTCTTTATTAACCTTTACAAATTGGTGCCGTCTCTTCCCGTTCCAACAGCACATGATATCTGTCCACACCTCACAGTCTGCCTTTCTGTCCATGTTGATCTGTCTAAGAAGCAAGAGTCTGGAAATGCTAGTTTAACTCGTCACGTGACAAATCAGATCTTCAACTAATTTGGCCAAATCAGATCACTTAAAGCTGGTCACACCAAGAGCAATAACAATAATGAGAAGTATTTTAGCATCCACACCAACAGACATTAACATTCTGTTTATTATAAGCGTGCGTTGCGGTTTTGTTGTCTGCCATTTAAATGCTCAAGCTCTTTAAAATCTGGTGGATTCTGAAATTTTTCTGAAAGAGATTCCCATGATATTGTTCCTCTGTGTCATTAAATTTTAAATAGCTGCGGTGTGGACTCATCCTTGGTGTGAAGAGGCCTTTAAACTGCTTACAACAATACCGGCAGCATGTAATCATGTTTAAAATAATTCATATTAATTTAGCTTGCTATTGAAGATGTAGCTTTTTCTAATGCTGCTTTCCTCTCATTCTGTTAAACTTACACACAAAATTTTGCCTTTCTCTGCCTATTTCTCTTCATCTTATTCATTTTCTCTGTCACTCACTTACATATTTTTTGTGCTCTGTTGTAAGGTAGAAACTGAGCGTTTACATGATGGCCTTTTCTCAGACTCTGAATCTGATGTGTACAGATGAACTCAGGAGCCTGCTAGAGTTGACAGGGAACTTGAGCTTGAAGTTTATTATTAACTGCTTAATTTATGTTTAAACAACAATAATAATTAAACATGGGGTCAATAAATATTTTCTTGTTTTACAGCTGAAGACCAAAAACGCAAAGAAAATCAGTCACAGCAAGCCGGCAGTCCTGATGAAAGAGGAATGAACATGGCCTTCTTTTGCCCAAACAGAAAAGACAGAGTGCTGAAAAGTTGCACTTTTCCATTGGTATGTCTGTATTCAATGCAGTTATGTGTGGTACAGCATTGATGTTGATCTCTCAAAAGACAGCAGTTATAGTTACTTCAAGTCAGCAGTTGTAATTTTTCACATATGCATCTTTTTATAGCTCCTAGAATGAGCAAATCTCATCTGCATCATCTTTGGGATTTGGGCAGGAAATAACTGAATATGGTGAGTACTGACAACTGCACCTGTATTCACCAACACCATTTCTCTAGAGTTAATGTTGACTTATTGTTTTGTCTGTTTGTTTGAAGGAAGATGAAGCCAGTTGATGAAGATATCAATTAAATGGCCACCAGCTGCCACACTGCTGCCTGAACCCATCAGGTATCTGCTGTGAAGACTGCATTCACGAACAGCTCGAATGTGACAGCTCAGATGTTACAGCCCGTAAAAGTAAACTTCACAACTGAACAACTGCAAGATAGTTGTGGAGGTATTCTTTTGGCCCATACCTCCAACAACCTCCCAACAAGAATCAATGGTAAGTCAAGTGCAACAATTATAAATAAAAATACTATATTGTTTATTGATTTACCACACCCTAAATACATGTTTTGTCCCTCCAGAACATATACACCAGGTGGTGTGTGAGGAGGACCGTCAGAGACTCATGGATTGCGAGCCATGGATTGCTCTCACCGTTACCATCAGGCAGAAGTTATCACAGAACCTGCACCAGCAAACTGCGAGACAAGTTCTTTCCACAGGCAATCAGACTGAACTGAACTCGTACCAGTAACACCACACCAACCTCATATGCACTGCACTCTATCAGTTACACTGACTGGACTCTGACTCACTATTATTCTGTACCCTGACATTCTGTTTGCACTAATTCATACCGTGCTGCACTGATACTTTTCATCCATACTGTCAATGCTGCAGTTTGCACAAAAGACTTTCACCACCTGTACACTTGCGTTCATGGTATCGTGACAATAAAGTGATTTGATTTGAATTGGTCACATGTCTTTTGTTCGTCAGTTGTACTGTAGGGTGCTGGATAACAACTGCAAATTGTTTATGACATGGAAGAAGACTATGGTAGGGACATAGACAAGCAAGCAAGAGGAAAAAAACCAGGAGAGCTCTAATGATGAGCAGGAAACTGTGATTCTACGATTGCTCAGAACATTTCACCATGCATGCATTTGGGTGGCTTCATCTGATTAAAATAACATGGTTTTAACATAACCCATTTTTATTTCTCTTGAATATGATTTGTCTTAATTTGCTACTTTAGCTCTCTTTATGCTGTATCCTCCAGCAAAGTATTGTACATGGTGTTGGAAAATAAAGCATGGTGAATATTCTGTATTAAGGATTGTGTTTGGTAAATACACCATTTATTTAGTAAACAATACATATAATTACTATGATTGTTTTAAGACATGAACATTTGGTCATATTAATGACTCCATTACATGAAGGGAGTGCTGAAAGCTGCATTAGAAGACACTGCATGGACTATATTGCTACAGACACTACATGCAAAACTGAGGGTGATGTACCAGGGAAAGATCAACATGAATCCTGTACTGTATAAGCAAGATGAGCATGCACATTACTGATGTTTAGCACCTGAGGAGGACAAAGATAAGACATTTTTGACACAGAGATACAAATGAGGTCTTTTATATTCTGATTATGTGAACTACATGAATTGTATGGCTTTTGCACCATAAACCACACACTGTGTACCTTGTCTTACTGAATGACACATTGACTTTGTGTGATAGTACAATGAAGTGTCAGTATGTACTGGTTGTTTAAATTGGTGTCTTTGTTTACTGTCAACACTGTATTCTTGCTCCTGATCTAATTAAATAAATGGTGCCCATTCCAAATGGGCACTGATGTAGATATTTTTGTGGGTCTATTCTTATTCTAAGATAACCATGACTTGCAACTTACATATTGGCAAGTTGTTGAAAAGACAATCTAAAAAATGTGACTCAGCACAGTTTGTTGTCCATGATGAGAATAGATCTGTGTATGTTTTACTGCCCTTCCATCCCCAGGGGCCCAGTAGAGTCCCCTGGAAGAACACAAAAATGTAACATTTCAAATGGCTGTAAATCAAAGTCTGATTATAGTGTCAAAGAGAAAATTGGCAGGACGACTACTTATGCTATGTTAATTAAATAATGTTGGACAGAGTTTTCAAAGCGTTTTTTCAAAAAAGCCATTTGGAGACTCCAAATTGACACCTGGTAACCAAATGAGGCAAAACTACATAATGCATATATGTATATCAATTCAGAACTGCTCTGCCCACCATAACACACAAGAAAAAACTATTTCCGAACAGCATTTGTAGTGTTGACTCGGTGATTTGGTTACCAGGTGTCCATTTGGAGTCTCCAAATGGCATTTTTGAAAGGACGCCTAAACTTTTCCTGAAATAAAAGCAGAAATAAAACATTTTTTAGGTAAAAACTTGCATAAAGTACATCTTTATGGTATTTTATTTAAAGAAAATCTTAGGAAAAGTCATTTAGATCTTTTATTTCAAGAAAAGTCTAGGAATCCTTTCAAAAAGGCTATTTAGAGACTTCTTACTGAATGACACATTGACTTTGTGTGATAGTACAATGACGTGTTACAGTATGTATTGGTTTAGATTGGTGTCTTTGTTTACTGTCAACACTGTATTCTTGCTCCTGATCTAATGAAACAAATGGAGCCCATTCCAAATAGGCACTGAAGCTGATTTTTTTGGGTCTATTCAAATATTTACTAACCAAATTTGTTGATTGAGAATAATTTCAAACTTTGTGTAGGAGCTCAACGGTTGACGAAGTTAACGTCTTCTGTCTGCTCTGCAACGGTCTTCACGAGTTCTCGCGATAAGTGATGTTGAGAACGTGACATCGTTATTGAATTGATTCAACACATTTTTTTTTAAGATGAGGGGGCAAATACTCTAGTTCAGTCAGTTGAGACAGTGAGAACTTAATGTTAAGTTGAATAAACAAATTCAGAAACTGCAAGTTGTCAACTTAAAAAAATAATTGAAACAACTAAACTGCAAGATCATTTTTATAAGCTTTAAGCATAAAAGGTTCATCCCTTATGAAAATTAACCATGGTTTTACTAAAAATAAAACCAAAAAAACATGGTTACTATAGTTAAACCATGGTAACCACAAATTAACCATGGTTTTGCTACACTAGGCTAACCATAGTTTAACCATGGTATTTGTAGTAAAACTGGTCATACAAATGGTAAACAATACGCCAAAAAAACTGGTTACTACACTTTTACTACGATAAAACCATGGTTAACTTTGATATAGGTTATACTAAAATCTTTTTTTTCAAACTACTTGACTTTACAAACATTTGACATATTACATATATATCATTAAGCGTCTATTTCAAGGTGCAGCAGATTTTCTACATAGTCTAATGCTTTTTACACAGTTCAACCTGTTAAATTTCTTCATTAGGGTAATAAAAATTAACATTCTATGACTTCTAAAATGAATGACTTCTACTCAGCCAACAGCAAGAAGGAGGCTCGTAAAATGGGGGGAGAACCTGCATCAGCACCACTGACGGATTAATATAGCGATGAATATCAAGTGAACGTCTTTTATCAGATTAGCCTAATTTAAAGCGATTTCTACAGCACTGACCTGCAGACCTGTGAAACTCCTCTTTGATGAGTTTGTGCCCACGAAACAACACAAACATTCTCAGAAAGAGCCCGAGAGCGAGGCACACTTTCCTTACCATCCAACATACACCGGCCTTACTAATGCGATGCATCTCCAATGTTATATAGAAAACTACTATTTAACCACTTACTGTGCGCCCCTGTTTTTGAGCATTTTCTGAAAAACGACATACCCAAATAAAAATGTCTGTAGCTCTTGAACCCTATGGTCTATATTTATAAATCTGGTATTGTTTGAAACTAGACACTTGAACCTTTGTTACTCTGGAGTCATAATAACTCAAAATTAGTATAGCAACAGAGTAAAACAAGGTAAAATGTACATGAAAGTGACTCACGATATCTTTGAATGAAATTCACTAATGGAAAAATGGATGAGGCTTTCATGCCAAATGTATAATCTAAAACAGCTAACATGAAACAAAATCTGCAAACACATAAACATTCAAGAGAACGGCGTTGAAACTTAGGTGCTAATGCTATCCCTGCCTGTCATGCATCTCTCCGGGTCTTTCTGCTGCTCTTCGCCACTGCTTCACATCACGCCCTCCAAAACACTATCAAACACCACAAAAACTCTTCTAAAGTCGATGTTCCATGATGGAGAGATTCAGATGTAAGCTTCGGAGAAAGTCCGCTCGCGGATAAGTACTCTGTGTAGCGCTGCGACGCCATTCTGTGAACGTAACGAAGAGAGCACACTCAGCTCAAGAATACACACTAACTTTGCGCACGGGTATTTTTCAAGCCTTCTTACGTAATCTATGCAAACTGTCAATCACTGTAAACGTCCTTGTGGTTGGCTAACACTTCCATCCATCAAAACTTTGCTGGCTAGGCATTGTCTGGCTTCAAACAGCCCAAAACTGCGGTGCGCAGATCGGCACCTCGCTAAGCCTGTCAGCGACTCCCTCTCTGTTCTGGGTTATAACATCGCCCGTGATTGAAGGAGAGAGACTGGGAGGGCTCATTTTGCTCAGAAGAGACTATTCTATATGAAACAAATGCCATTTCAAAGCTGGAATCGATATTTCTTTGAAAATGGACGCTATCTACAACTATAACTCGAATCGCTTGTGTAAACAAAGGAGGATCTTTCGTTTTTTCCCCTATTTTTTCGTTGTTTTGGATTAAAAAGTGGGATGCATTTTGAAGAGTGGACTCTTATTTTGAAATGTTGTGCTGGTGTTTCTTGGAATAGTCCAAGCTGACCAGAACTATAGGCAATGAAACGCAAGTACTGCCGTTCACTTTGTACATATTTAAATGGCCGGTCCTTCAGCATTTATGTTAACCCTTTCCTCTCTGGTGTATTGATTTAAAAAACAAGCTCAGAACATGGATCTTGAGTGTTTTAGCTGTCAAATGATATATAGTTTATGATAGTTGATTGAATATTGTTTTAAAACAAAGGTAATTAAAAGCACAGACACGCCTAAACACGCCCGGG